GCTGTAGCTAGGTGCAGTCAGCTTAAGCTGAAAAGAGTGGCCAAGTTTATTCCTGGAAACAAAGGTAATTGTTTGTACTTTTTACGGTGAAAACACATAAACAGTGTGTGCCATTTAGAGCGATTGTGAACAAGAAAGGATCCCGCTAGCTGCACCTAAGCAGGTACGGAGGTGCCTGATGAAGCATTTAAATAGCTTGGACATTGACAACCCCTTTGCAACAAAAAAATTTGCTTCAATTAAGTGACATATCTTGTGCGCAACAACGATTCGGTCGGGTACTCCTTTTCTGTCGATGTTGAGAATTTGTTTTACACTATGTATCCCACACCAGAAATTGTTCATTGCGATGAAGGAATGCATTGAAAGAAATGGGGAAGTAGTGTTTCAAAATACAGCTGGGATTACTGTTGAGAACTTCATGTCCCTTTTCAAATTTTATTTATGCTCCACCGTCATGAACATTGACAGTAAGTTGTATTTGCGAAAACGTAGGATATGTATTGGTTCGTGCGCAGCACCGGTCCTATGCAATATTTTTCTGTCGGCTTTCAGCAGTCGTTTGAAGGGTGCTTTTAATAGTGACGAGGTGCTTGCCGGGAGTAGATGTGTTGATGACTTTTTAGTGGTTCTTAGGGAGCAGGAGAGCATTGGGGTGAATGGCGATGATTTCAGTGCCTTTAGCGGCGATGTGCATGAGATCTTGGAATATTTTAATTGGGACAGGGGTTGTCGTTCACACAGGATCGAGACTCTGCCAGAATGGCAGTTGCAGTTTTTAGATGTGAAGCTAACATTGTCACACTCGCATGTATGTTGGGCTTATAATCCGCACTCCTGCAAACCGTTACTGCCGTTTGATTGGGCTCATTCAAAGATTGTAAAGCGTACGTGCAATTGCTTCCATGTGCCTAATACCACCCCCAAAAAGTCTTGCGTTCGTGCGGCCCCTGACCGTTTTTATCAGCAAGTGCAACGGCTGCAGTCGTCAGGGTATTCTGACGCTATTCTGATAACTACCGCCGAGTCGCTACTCCAGAAGGTGAAATGCCAGGGCCGGGGGAAGAAAAAACACAAAGTAGCGCATAACCTCAAGAAAGGTGCAATACGTAGGCACAATGTGCTGATCGTCTTTTCAGCGCTGCGCAAACTGTCCAAGCTGTATGCGTGTATTTCTGATGAGGTTGAATAGAAGACAAACTGTGGAACCAAGCACACTAGACATTACGTGGATCTGTGCGGTGGGGGTAGTATATGAATTGCCATTGAGCTGTGGCAAATCAAACATCGGCCAAACGGGCAGGTGTATAAACCAGCGGGCCCGGGAGCATGACTTGACGCTCTCGAACGATAAAAGCACCCATCTTTTTGCGCACTGTGTGCCTTTGTTTGATAAACTGAAGGCGCTGGGACGCAGTATATAGGAAAACGGTTGCACGTGAACTATTAGAGGCGTTTAATATAAAGTTGAAGGGTGACGATTACGTCAAGGAGATGTCAGTGTGTTTGCGGTAGCGGGAATTTCAATTGCTATGTTGCAATATGATCTAGTTTTTTATATGCTTTAGTTCTTGATATGAGCAGATTTGCGAGGTGCGCAGCCCCGTTTGTGACGTATGTTCCACATTTCTCTCCACAATTCGTAAATAAATCAGTTGCTAGTCAGCTTTCTGTCCTGTCTACCTGTTTTCCATGTCCCACCTTTATTTGCGCTCTACTTTTGTTTTTTAGACATGCACCAACTCGCGCAGCAATGCATTATATTAAGTAAAAGCAGTTGCCGCCGCTCTGCCTCCATTTTCTCGTCCCATCTTTCGTGCTCTTCTCCAAGGTGCCGCATGCGCTGACCATGCCATTCTCTTACCTTAATTTCTTGCCCTAAAGATGGTTGCAGGAAGTACAGCCTTATTTTCCTTTTTGACCAAGCACGTCTCCTATTCGAGAAGCTTGTGAAAGCGACTTGAGTTTGCACGGATTTTGACTGAGCAACGGTGCTGTGAAAAATTCACGCCTTTTTTTTTTCTTTTTTTTCTCAATTGCTTCTAGATTTGAATATGTGCTATCAGTAGATCGTGCCAGTAGCCTACCCATTAATTGACATTTGATGTGAACAATATAAAACGGTAAAGCAATGTCGAATCACACAGTGCGAAAAAAAAAGTTATTCTCTTCCACATTTTCTCGGTTGTTCTTAGAGTGTCCTATGAAATATGCCAATGCCTTGATCATTGTCTTGTTTTTGTGATCACTATAACATTACAAACTTATTTGGGTGCACATCAAAGAACCTCAGGTGGTCGAAATTTGTAGTCCTCCACTTCGGCGGCTTTAATAGTCATATAGTGTTTTGTGGACGTTAAACCACAAAAAACGGTCGACATTGTAACCTTAGAGAAGGCAGTAGAACAAGTTGCACTATGCACGCTATTTGAATGTGCAAGCATGAATGCAGCTTAATGCTCACACGATCACCCCCCCCCTCCCCCCGCTACGTTGGTCTGGAGCTTGTGGTGCTCAACTATTGACCCGCAAGACACGGGATCGAATACCGGCTGCGGCAGCTGCATCCTCGATGGAAGAAAAAATGCTGTACGCCCGTGTGCTCAGATTTGCGTGCACGTTAATCAACCCCAGGCGGTCGATATTTTCGGAGCCCTCCACTACGACATCTGTCAGAATCATATGGTGGTTTTGGGACGTTAAACCCCACATACCAATCAGTCAAATCATATTAACACCATTTCTACTCTTACACCCTTCTCTCGGGGAGTACATGCAGAGAAAAAGGTGTTAAGCCATTTGAAAAGAGAGTAAATATGAAAAACATGCTTTTTACATCTTTAGAGTGTAAAAAGTTTACTGTATACGCAAACTGTCTCAGAAATGTCCTAGTGGGTAGCACAGTTGGTACGCAAAATGTCCTGGTGGATAAATTGAGTATGTTTCAGTCCCCTATAAATCCTGAAATAGTGCCCGAAATGCCCTCGTGAACGATTTCTGAATATTCAGAAAACGTGCTGAAGTTGGACAATAAAACCTTTCTTGGACTCCATCCGGGCTAGTTGAGCACGTTCTTGGGATGTTCAAACATCCTCACGAAAGCGTTTTAAAAAATGCACTGAAGATGGGTTTCTGTTGTCTGGGTCTTTCATATCAGTTGTTGTCGTAACACCTATATAACGTATTTTTCTTGGCTTATTAATAAATATTTGTTTGCTTCTGCACCTTGTTATAACCGGTCGTACTAAATGCCATGTTGTTTTTATCCTTAGTATTTGCACCTGCTCACATAACGATCATTTTAGACGTCGTTATCAAAGAGCCCTTCAATGTGAGTGACATGCACTGAATGTTTGCCCATATATCGTCTTTCATGCCAGTTTTTTCAGACCTTCATCTCACTGATGTGCACAGGTATATACAGGTATATAAACAGCACTCATACCGTGCATTGTATTCTGATGCCGTGGCCGAAGCGTCAAACACATCGTTTCGTATTTCACATTAAACACAGATTTTATATATATATATATATATATGCACCTCTCGCCTTCCAGCACCAGTGCGCTTCTTTCCTCGCTACGCATGTGCGTGTATATATATATATATATATATATATATATATATATATATATTGAAATAACTTGCAGATAGCACATAAGAAAAGGATCGTATTTAATAACGTTTCGGCCGTGGCACGGCCGAAACGTTAGTAAATACGATCCTTTTCTTATGTGCTATCTGCAAGTTAATTCAATATAGAAAATACCCGGACCTGTCGTGCCTTCCCTTCAAGTTCTATATATATATATATATATATATATATATATATATATATATATATATTAATGAGTAAGGGAAAGAAGTGTGTACATAAGGGCTTGTTTTTCCATGTTCTGACACAATATTAATGAGATCTAACAGACAATAACGCCAAAGAATGTATATGGGAAGTTATTAGAACAAATGGAATGTAAATAAGAAGAAAGAGTATATATATATATATATATATATATATATATATATATATATAAATAAGGGAAAGAAGTGTATACCTAAGGGCTCGTTTTTCCGTGTTTTAACACAATATTAATGAGATCTAACACACACACATATATATATATATATATATATATATATATATATATATATATATACTTTAGTGGCCACCTCCCTACGATGCCCTTCTGCAGCACTGCTCGACATCCACGTCGCGTGGTATGAAGCAGACGCCATGGGGAGGCCGAGAGAAGCAGATGGAAGCGCCAGTAAGTAAAAGCGATGCTGACGAATGTGCCAGAAAAGTCAACATGGCGGTAACAATGGGTGCAGCTTCCTTCCACCTCAATCTTATCACATCGTCATCCTGTGCTGTGTGGCCAATAAGTTCAAAATGCGCTCATTTATTTGTTTATATTTACATCCTGAAATATAGAGAGCAATGTATTTGTTGTAGTCGGCCTTTTTTCAAAGTTTTTCAAGATTCATTCTCAAATGCTCGGAGACTGGCTAAATAAACACAGCTAATTTCCTTAACAAAGGCAGTACATACCTGATGTTTTGTCTCTAGCGTGAAATGACACAAAGCCGTAGCCAATTTCACCACTGTAACGACAGTGTCCAAGTAGCCAGCGCGAGTTTGGATCGAAGCGGGCGGTCGAGTCTACATGCGTGCTGCCATGTTGGCTTCTAACCTCAGGTATACGGCCTCGGCCATTTCGCTTTGTTTAAAACGCAAACAATTGGGTGCATGCTCCGACTTGCTGAATGCTTTGAACTACACAGATTTTCCCACAATACACGGTATCTGGCACATTTCTTTCATAACTTTATTGAGATTAATATTTAACATGCCACTCGGTCTATAGCCTCTCCTCATGCATGCATGTCCGCCAGCAGTAAGAGAAATTATCACCACTGCCTCTGGAGCAGAGCCCCGTTGAACCTGTGGGGCAAAAACGTCTCCCACCTCACATGCAATTAGGCAGAGACCACGCTTATTGTTGATAGAATATCTCATTTATTACAGTTGCTGCTCAAGGTCAATGCTGCCTTTCCGCTTGTATGCACATCTCGCCTTCCAGCACCAATGGGTGGCAAGCCTTGTTCCCGCACAGGTTGCAGAAGATAACCCATATTTCTCTCCTGCTCTCCACAATCACGTTACAACCTCGATAAGTCGACAGATGCCTAGCCACAAAAGCATGCTGCATCTCTATCTTCTGTGTGTCACACTTGGGCACAGACAGCAGTTCCTAAAATTCTCAAAACAGGCGGGCATGCCGAAACAAATGGCTGAATGAAGGCTCGCACAGTGCCAGGTGTTCTCTCTGATAGCACTTTCTCTAAGCCCACACAAATGCACATATTGTTGCGCACTTATACACAAAGCATATTTAAGGTGAGGGTTGGAAGGCATGTCGTACCCACGGCGAGTGAGACTTCTGCTAGGCAAGAGGCCTCTGCTATTCCGTCACACAGCAATGAGATCGCTCTAGGGAGGCACAGTAAAGTGCCAAGCACGATGCCCAATGTTCTTCACAAAATATATTGCAAACAGAGACAAGCAAGAACCTTCCAGTCAAAAAATAACATGAGAACTCTGTCCTTCACGAACCACAATCATGCTGGCACATTTCACTAAGAAACTCAATGATAATAAGGCAAAAATACACAAAGATGGCTAGATCCACAGTAAAACACGAGAACAAAAATTTTTTTGACCAATGAACCAAAAACTCGATGAGACGGTGGGCATTATGAAATGCTAAAGTGTGCCACAATAAGTAAATTGATGGCACATATTGTCGTAATGTAGTGTGCACACATGAAATAAGCATCAACTATCATCACCCAAAAACTTTCTAAGATACAGAAACAGACTAGAAAAGTATAACAGTAAAAAAACCTTTACACGTGTAAACTGATAAAATACTACAAAAGCAGACAAAAACCACTGCAATAAACAGTGCAAGCACTAAAGTGTTAAAAGCCAAGTACAAAATGTCAGCTAAATTTAGCTGACAAAAATGTCCAATATACAATATTATTAAAAAAAGTAACTCTTTGGGGATTAAAGTGTAAAAGTAAAATAAAAAGTGACACATGTACCACATTTTATATGTAGGTATGTCAGAAAAAAAATGTTCCTGAAATATTTAAAAAATGAATTGATCGGCTTTTAAAAATTGAAAGCACATCAGGATTCTCGTTTACAGCAAACGAAACTGATCACATCGGTATAAAAATGTGAATGAGTATGCAATTGTGTGTGAACCGTAAGCATCACTAATCATTAGTTTTGTAAGACCATATACTAGGTTTCGTAATGTTGCACTTAGGCTTGTGGAAGTGTTGCTTAAAGGGACACTAAAGGCAACTATTAAATCGACCTTGATTGTTGAAATGGCGGTCCAGAAACCTCATAGTGTTACTTTTCTGCCAAGAAAGCGCTTATTTTGAAATAAAATCACGTTTTAGTGGTCCGGATCAGGGTAGCGTACTTCAAATTACCGGCCCAAGTGGAACCTCTCTCGTCAGTGTTGCCGTGTACAACGTTGCCCAGTTTTACTGCACGGCCGCTGACACTAGTAGCAGCAGAACGAAAGCAGCAGAAGCCACAGTAGCAACAACGGTAATTCAACAATTTCCTGCTATTCTCTCCGAGATGGCAGACGTTATTGGTTCAACTGGGCCCCACTAGATGGCATGACCTGTTCAGTTTAGCCAGGTGAAAATTGAACTTTTGAATGACTCATGCCAACACTCGGCAGTTTTTTATTTCCATGAATCGAACAGAAACGAACAAGCAGCATTCTGTTACGCCTCTTGATGCACGGAAGGTTCTTTATTTATAGCAGCTAGTTCAATTACTAGTGATTAATTGTAGGCAGTACCTCTGACCTCATAGGGATCATTTGGTGAGTGTTTTATCGTAGCGCATGTGCTGTCAAGCATTTACCTTACTTTCTGGGAAGCACGACAGTGCTGTTGATAGTAATGTCATTTTAGACATAGTCATACAGTAAGATTTCACTCTGGCATAAATTGTTATTTGACTTTAGTGTCCCTTTAAGGATACGAACTTAAAGTGCTAATTTCACCCACATGCCAAAATGCTCCACTACTGCTGCTGCACAAGCACCAGCAACATGCGAGACAAAAGAGTGCTTGTATTAAACATGTACACTGAATGACTCCTAGGAAGTGGCCTTTGTAAATCCTTCACCACACAAAGGTGCACCTTTGTCTAGCCACTGTCAGTGGTGTAAAGGAAGGTCACAAAAGCATCCCCATAAGAATATAAAAAAATTATCCATGCTGAACTCAGCAAACTACACACAAGAAATCTGGCAGATGCTTCTTCGGGTACACAAATGAACATCCCTGATGTGCTCCACCACCCTTGCACACACATAATTTGAACCAAGATAAACGAGTGACAAATGAAACATACATGTCATGCATGCTTACAGTGATTTTCAACGTCACACAAGTGTATCGATTAGTACTTGTTCAGATATTTGTTCCAGTGTTTACATTATAACCTCTTTGCGCAGTTTGTTCTTCAAATGAGAGAGCGGCAAGAGGTTTGCTATGGTACGATTTCTGTTCACTACCATTCATGTTCCCATTATGGAAGGGCAACAATACACAGTGACACCCTTTGCTTGTTATCTCAGATAAGCAGGCCTATGGATGGGGCCACCCAAGATCACGGTAGTGCAACTACAGATGGAAACTGATAAATCGCTCGTTTATAGCACTAGTAGCAAGTCTTCAAGACCCACCACACCTTGCACCAGATGCTGCATTATACTTCAAATTTCCTCCTTAAAAGCCCCAGACAGTCTGCTGTAAGCCAGCCTATTCACGTTTGCTATTCAACTCAATTCATCACAATCACAACTTTTTTGTTAAAGAACTAGTGTTCACCACACTGCAACCACATTAGAGATAACCAAGACACAATAGCACCATTATAGCACACCAAGAATTCAAAGTTTCGTGAATCACTTGTCAAACCAAACAAAGCCAATGAGGGCTAGATCAAATTAGCAGCCTAGCGGAGGATGGGCAATTTCTGTCGTTCTCAAAGCTCACACTTATCATAAGGGCACTTGCGCCTCAAGTGGCGAGAAATTCCATGCTGAAATTCTCATACTGTGCAGCATAGATTCACCACACAAGCAATGGCAGCTGATTCACATAGCGACATTCTGAAATTTTTGGCAAAGCAGCAACCCCGTGAAAAATATAACTCAGACCATAGACGCATCACCACAGCCTACCATGCTTCCAGCATAAAAAGTTTATGGGCCACACAAAAAAAATATCCCTATTGTTATGAAGCTTTAGCATGCACCCTGCCATTCTTATGTGCAGCAAGTACAGTGGTTCATATTGTAGCCATTCATACTGAACTTTCAAGCACATTATGTCAGTTATGCTTGTTACTCTGTTCTATGAAGGGAGTGCTTTATATCTATGACATCAAGAGCATTTGGCATCCTCTGTAAAAGCTATGTCCCAATATTATTCCGTGCCACCAGTACTGTAAAGTGAAACACATCAGCCATAAGTGTGCACGAGCTTCCCCTTAAGGGGGAGGGGGCATTGTAGCCCCACCTCCCTATTAAGTCAATACATTGAGCAGTGCTTCCCCTCCCCTATGCATACCGATGGCACCAGCTCTCATTGCCACAAAGGTAGAGTTCTAGCAGTGCCTCAAGCACATCACCTTTTGTATTGCAACAAAAAGGCAGTGCAACATAGACTTGTATTACCAAGCTTCAACTGCACATATTTCCCGAACCTGAATGTCCTCATATACAAAAGTTTAACAAATATTTTACCACTCAAGAGTGCCAAACAAAGTATTCAAAGGCTGCACACGATTCTTTATACAGCCACACAGCATTTCATTGAGACAGAATACCTCATTTTTATGAAAAGCAGCACATATTTCTAAGTGTAGCCAGCATCTTTATAAATGTTAACATGTGCATTGCTCCAATCATTGGGAAGATTCACAGATAGCACCTCCAAATGTAGGTCTCATAATCCGATAGGATGCCAATCACTGATGCATATCAGTTACGGCCTCTAAGTATCCAGAAAGCACTCTTGAAACAATGTTGCACAAATAACACATTGTACGCTGAGCTTGCTACTGCAAATCTGCAAGTCCAATGTAAACAACACTGCACAAGTCCTCCAAGTAGATGTCTTTTCAAGAACAAATAGAACTTTGTACACTTATCTGTAACACTGCCAAGTGTAAAACCAATACATATACTGTTACCGCTTGTATCCACAATGTACAAGTTCTCTACTAAAGCTTTGCCAATGCCCCAAATCAATTGTATGATTCACAATTGTGTGTTTATGCACCAATTTTGACCAAGCTCTGAAGTTCAGACTTCTTACGTTTTAGGTTTATTACATGACTCTACAATATTAAAAAAAGTAATTAAAATTTTTTATTCTAAAGGTGTAAAATTTTAACCAGAGCAATTAAAAAATGTTAAGCAGATTCCTTTATTCCCACAACTAGACAACAGAAGCTCTTTCAGAGTCTTCCTTTTAGTGAACATTTCCCGCAAATGTGCATGGACACACCAGTTCACCGATTTACACTAGATGGATGTGGGATCATGCATAAGATGCCAGATATCAATTTATGCAGGGCATTCAGCATGCCTGACAGTCCAAGTAAAGCACCAGATTACTTTAAATCAGCCATTGACTAAATATGTGGACAACGGATGCTGCACTCCCACAAATGATTCTGGGCACTGGTGTCTGCTACCTTAACTTCCCGTTCAGGAGATCATCCAGCCATCTGTGCTTCTGCTCTCCATGTTTCACTCGCTGTTGTGGTCCTCCTTGCAAGGCACTGCATGACCTATTCGCGCAGAGTGCAACGTACAGCAGGTGCAACCACCGCAGGACAGTTGCAAAAGGTACAAGCTGCTATTGCTTCATACACTCCCAGACAGCTGCATGTTGTTGTTTAGTGCTACTCACAGACTAATGCGTATTGCAATGCGTAACATCTGCACGTGCCAGGCTGCTGTTCTTGGGACCTACACCATGCCATTCCACGTCTATCATTCACGACTACTCATTTACATGTGTGCCTCCCCCCTTGCAACGCAAAACATTTTCACCTGTTCACAAAGCCCTCAAGAGCGTGGTCTCTGGACGGCTGGTAAGTTGCGAAAATGCATGCATTTGCTCCCCACTACATGACAGATGTCTCGGAACAGCGAAGGGCTTGAACCAGTAGTGCTTAAATTGACATGTTATTTTGCTATCCACCTACTGCACAGAACTGTTTCACTAAGTAGACTGTAAGAGAAACACACACTTTACTTCTATGGGCATACCTGTGGTAGTGTTGCTAGAGTTTGGCACCTGAATATGCAAGGAATGTATTCCTTGTGACTTTTCAATGATAAATCCAGTGTGCCTTAAAAAAGCGTCACAGAAGTGAGGGAGAGTTCTCAATGCAACTCTACATACAGCAAAAGTTCTGGTTGTTGCTGGGCGACTTCAGAAAGCAAAAAAAGATCTGCATTGTGCATTAGACTAAGCACTTATGGGCAGTGCCTCGGGCAAGCTCATGAGTGGGTACGAAATTACGTGCAGCCACATACATGCGTTCGGTGCTCTCGTTCAGCTCTTTTGAAAGCATAGGCGTCTTCACCAAAGCTAACTCCCTAGTGAAAACGCTGTTGCCTAAAATGCAGTTTTCAGCTATGAGCTTCACCGCTTCTTTTAAAAGTCTGCATGAAAAATGGAATGGCAAAGAGGAATAGGTTATGATCCAAAAGCAGGAGTTTATACCTAGTGTAGCACAGGGTTAAATTAAATGCCACGAAGCCACACTTTCTGGAAAGCAACTTATGATGTACGCATAAGATGCACAAACAAAAAAGCTGCAGCTGTTTTTTTTTCTACATCATTAGTAATCAAGCAACCCTCTTTTCTTCACGATGCAATATCTAAAAATAGTCCAGCGGTTGCACAAAATACAGCTCAGTGTAGTGCAATAGGGCAGGAAGCATATTTAAGACAAATCACGAGAGGCTACGTATTCACGTGACTAAGTGTGCTCAAAAGTAGGAATAGTAATACCAGGGAATGACTAATTGGTGAAAAGTTTCTCATTAAAACACTAATCAACAGCCCTACTTTCAGCTTCCATCAATCGATAACCTCACAGAGAGGCACCAGCGGCGTGCATGCAATGCCAAACGACATTAGAATGCCAAACACAAGCAGTGACTAGATGGCAATCATAAACAACTGCAGACTGTTCCCAAGAGATCCCTAAGCTGGTGGAAGCCTATCGTTACTTTCACCTACTAATAGAGAAAAGAGTGAACTACAGAGCATCCCTTTGCATTTTCCCTTACCAAGGGTAGACAACTACAATCAGCCTTTTTAAAGCAGCCACCCCCCAAAAAGTTATGCATTTAAGGTGATCAGCTAAATGTAAAATGGGCGAATAACCAATGCATTCAAGAATGCCTATACCTATAGTTAATTAATGATAGGAGTAATATAGGAGTACACTTTTAAAATGAGGCGAATAAGAAAATCTAGAGCCATCTACATTATGAATCCCCGACTCACATACTAATATCTTAGGTGATTTATTGCTGTTTAAAACAACGCATCAAATGGCTTAGGGAGCATTACTGTTCTTGCTGAAAGACATTCAAATGCAGTGCTTCCTCGTACTATGCTGCCACAAGACTTGACTGTGGGTCACTTTTCTTCACGGCCTTTGACCTGTGCTTTTGTTCTAGGAACCCTGGCAATAATTTTGTCACGCAGCATTACTGACAACTATGTAAACTTGATGCTGTGTACGGCAGATAATGCATACTGTGAGGACATGAATGGCTTCAGGGGATGTTGTCCAAAACGTGCTTACACCAAAGAAGTCTCCTGTGTGTAATAGAATTAATTTGCACCTTGTCACCAATGTCTAGATTCTCAAACAGATAGAAACATCTGCGCAGTTTGAGGCATGGCATGCTTATCAGCAGTCTGGCTAGGTGTCTTAATTCTTTTCTCTGAATTGAAGTTCATGGTCAGATCGAAAGGAAAACCCTCATTATCGCTGCCCAGTGCACCTTACTAACACTTGGTTAGCAAAAGTACGGCTGGAGTATCGGTTTCCCTCGTTCCAACTGAGGGGTCAATAAAGGGCCAGTAAACAGCCATGAGGTCCAAAAAGTTTCAAAAAGAGATATATGTGCAGTTTTTCTTTGCTCACATGCTGCTGCAAGAATTTTGTGAACACATGCCATATTAAGGAAGTTACTGGGGTGAGAACATCGGCCTAAGCTGGTTTCAAGTTTTGGCGCGGCCTCGCCTCCCTTCTTCCTTCCATGAAGGGGAAGGCGTAGCCCATCATCATGACTCCGCCCACTTCGGCAACGTGACAACACCTCAGCGATTGACGTCATCGGCGAACTTGATCAGTCGCAACGCACTTACGCTTTCTGTGATGCGCGGTTGTTTGTTTACTGCTTGCCGCACCAGCCGCGTCAACCGTGTAAGCGTCAGGTGCGAAGTGTCGACCACAAACGATCAGGTCGCCGACGTACGTTGCTGGATGGCTGATTCGCTTCAGCCATGCAGCGCGCAGGGCCCCATCACCCATCGTGGGGCACCCAGAGCCGATGCCTCTTTTCTGCCCAGTCGCTCGATTTGCAGCCGATGACAGAGCAATGCTTTTTACCCACGTTGCTCACGTCAAGGGCGAAATACATTCGTTGCATGCACACGGGCTCTGTAGTGGAGCGAGGAGTGTACACGTGCACGCGATAACTGTGAGGCTGGTCTTGGGCTGGTTCTTTCCCCGCAGTGCCAAGAAACAAGGGGCAGTTTCCTAGCTGTGGGTGGAAACAGGAAGTGACGTTGACTTCACTACTGTTTTTTCACACCTGATTTACACCAATCGGCGAGCTGCGTGCTACATCACGTCGCGGATCGCCGAGTTGACGTCGCTGCGCATGCAAGGAGGTGGGTCAGGCGTAGGAAAGATGTGCGGGAATAGTTTTTCGAAATAGAGGCTCTGCGCGGCGTGCAGCGCTGTAATATTCAGAAAATGTGATCGCTGCGGTGTAATCTACAAATTTCCGAGCTTGTATGGAGGGGGGGGGGGGTGTAAAAAAAAAAGTCGGAGCCTGTTTACTGGCCCTTTAAGAGGCATCTCATTCAGCCACAGCTCATCGACCTTTCAATGAAGCAGCTGACCTCAATCAGTGCATGGCTGTAGTGGAACTAGTGGAGCGTGACAGCAACCACCACCATCCAGGACTGCTACTGCTGGAGGACACCTCATGATGTCATTTGAAAGTGTGCAACACTGCAAGCAATGCGATGCGGGTGATGTACGGGAGTTTGAAGGAACTCCCTCCATGGATGCTCAGGTAGCATTTTAACAATACGAGCAGTGCGAAGACGAGGTACACACGTCAGTTGCATTGACAACCAGCAAGCTTGACAACACTGTTTGCACTTAAGGAAACGCGGACACTGAGAGCAAAGAAGATGCTGATAACACCCACGATGAGGAGCGATGAATCAGAATCGAACGCCAATATTTCGGAGTGCACAAGAAAGATGCATACTTTTCTTGGGAAGGGCAACAATGCCCCCAAGGCAGCACAAAAGCATGCGGACAACATGATGCAGTCATCTTTCAGAACACCAGCGGTGCGCACCATGCAATGACCACAGACTTCTTCGAACAAGTGTGCATTAATTACGGAACACATTTACATTGTTTTTGCATTATCTTCTTTTCTTATTGCGCTTGCTAGAGATCACATTTGTGGACATGCTCCAAGCAAAGGTAAGGACCTGCTTTAGTTTCACTTATAATTTGTGAAATATAATCAATTTTTTTCAGTTTTTTTAGTGAACCATACAAATTTGCAGTTTATCAGCTATCCCTGATTACCGTAGTCATGCCACACATAACAATTCACTAACATAGAAAGCTGAACATTCCTTGCATCCATGGGCTGATGGTAAAGAGGAGGTAAAAAAAGAAAGCAGGAACTGTCATGCATGACAAAAGGATACTTATGGTGCACGTAGAGCTTTCCACACTGTTTCAACTTCTACAAAGGGTGATCATGTACTGGATGGCACAGTGTGCCGTCTTCATAGCAAACCGATCGAACAGTGGCGGTCGCTTTTGCGATGACGCCACCAGTAGGGCGCCTTGATCGAGCGGTGTGCCCAGCGAGCGTAATTCAAATTTGCATTGCCGACTTTACTGCACATTTTGAGTAAAGTAGTCACATAATACAGTTGAAATTGAAAGTATCTGTAAGATTAAAACATGTCCAACAGATATGGATTTATTAATGAGAAAAATAATGCTGCTTCTGTGTAGTTGAGCTCATACGATTTTTATTGCAGAACGGGGACCCAAATCGTCTGCTAGCTTACTGTTTTGACTGCAGAAGGAATAAAAATGCAGATTGCTACACATTTAATCGATACAGACATTTGCCTAGCTATCACACTAACTTGAAGTCGTGTGACGAAACACGCGAGGAGGCCCTGCAGGATAATGTTATCAGGGGACGAGTTCCACGACCACCACTTATTTGCATGAGCCATAACAGTAAGCAGTCGTGCTGTAAAAAAAAAAAAATGACGCTCAAGGCGAATTGCTGTACTTTTTTATATAATTTTCTAATCATCTTTGTATATTTTACAACCAGCGCGGCAACTACAAGTACCAATCTCAGAGGCTTTGTATCTCAACTGCTTATAAATTACTTCAGAGGGTGCTGACAGGTAGAGACACAGTAGTACGGTGTGTTCCGGCAGCGCTGGCCGTCATTGCAAAAAGAGCCACATCTGGGGCACTAGACGGTACACTGCCCCATTTCAGTACACCATAAAAGGGCGAAAACATTTGACAACGGTTCTTGCTCTCCCCTGTTCTTCCATCCTCACCATTGTTCACTACGCCTGACAAATGTGGATGCTCATGTGTTGAAGTGCTAATAAATACAGGAATGCACAAACTCTGGATAGCATACCAGGAGCAACATCATTTTCTGTGTTGAGAAAAAAAGATTTGTTTATATAATGCCCAACAGAGATTTTGTGGGTTACGACCCTTTACCAAGTACACACCAAACTATCATGGCAATTCAAAATTCTGTAATGCATCTAGTATCTGCTTGGGTGGACACAGCTACTTGCGTCTTTACTCTCCCAGCTTTAAAAAAAGATCTTGTGCCTGAAGCTGCTTCTTTATCGCTCAAATTTTGACCAAGAGCACATTTCACTGCCAACATTGTTCTCATAAGGCACTCAAGCATCGCAATTAACCTGATTCAGCCAGGAAATGCACTACCATGTTTCTGCAGTGATGTGCCTTCATTTCATTTTTCTAATAATAATAAAAAAGAACAAATACAGCCTTTCAAGAGCTTTTGTTAAGCTTTTTGTGCTAGGATATGTCAGAAAAAGAGTGAGAAACCAGCCCTACTTTCTTGTTCAGTCATGATAAATGGCTTGTTGAACAATGACCGCTCAGAAGAGCAATCTTGCTGCCAAATTTGGAAAACATAAAAGCAGTGGCAACATCATCTTTCAAAGTTGCCTGAACAAGAGTTTGTCAGCTTTACCCAAGAAAGTGGGAGCACAGAGTGAAAGTGACAAAAACAAAACTAACAGCCCACAAGAAAAAACAGAACAGGTGCAGCAGTGGTGTACTGGTTGCACCTGGCACGATATGAATAGGTGCTGCCGTGTTAGTTGACATTGTGATGGTTTGCAGCACTCTATTCTTGTGGCGATGCGTTTGCACTTGTGTGTCCTCCTGAATGAGGGTCTAGACGAAGAGACGAGGTTCACACAGGGGCCGAGAGACGACCATCCTCTCCCTTTAAGACAAAAACTAAATGGGAGGAAAAAGAGCCCTAGACGATCTTGCATCGCCGCTGCCTCCGCTTCAGGGGCTCTGGCCGGAGAACTGCTCGCACTGCCTCGTCAAATACCTGCGCATCGTACAGACAGCCTCAACAACAACCCCCCAAGATGTCTACACTACTGTTCTTATCACCATCAAGAAATCAAAGATGAACGACAGCGTCTGTAGTACAACACCTCGTAGAAGTACAGCACTGACAGAAACTGTGCAAGGCCCAGAGCAAGTTTGAAACCTTAGAGAAAAACACTGCCCTAAACCTTGAAACTTTGCAGTCTATAACACCTTGCCGTCTTATTTTAGGACTGCACATGAAATCGGCCCCGATCAACGCAAAATACTAACTTGTCCTGCACTGTCTGACCATGAACCACAAAGGGGGTCATGGGCCCTGCATTTTTTTTTAATGCTTCACCAATTGCGTTGAAACTTGCAGGGTTTCTGTATATGTGTGTGAAGATTTCAAATATACAATCATTGTTTTAGTGTAATATGTGGTTTCTAACATATCAAAGATTTCGTGCACCTTTTAGATGGTCACTGTTTGTGTAAACTGACCCGAGTTACATAATAAATAAGGACTTCAAAACCATGTGGAATGAGTTCTGAATGCAAGAAAACAAGGATGAATGTTACAAAGCCAATAGTATTGGAACAGGAGTTACAGTATGCTGAATGTTTGCAAATGAGCCTACATCAAACTGAGATTTTAGATACTCAACATACCAGAACTCTTGTTCAAATGGACTCTGACCATCCATTTTTGTTTTCTTGCACTTTGTACTCAATCCAGGTCATTCTGATGTGCTTATTTACTATGGAACTTTCTCAGTTTAGGTAAACATTGGATCCGAAAATGGCACTTGGAATTTCAAAACTACGGTATAGACCGCTTATAAGAGGTGAATATTCACACTATATTCAAAACAATATTTTTAAAGGCCACACTCGCACAAAATGTGTTGAGCATCCAGCCTCACGTGTCCGACAATCAAAGCATTCCATGCGTCGTACTTACAACCATTTAAATTTCTGAATTAAAAAGAAAAATGTCCAAAAATGCGTGTTGCCAACGAAATGAATGCAAAAAAAAAAAAAAGGAGGAGGGGGGTCTAACAAAATAAAGCACCAGTGCAGAAAAAATCAGATTAGTTCTGAGACCGCCTCGATTATGCGCATTACAGAGAAACCACGTCAAATCATGTCAGGAATTTCACACGCAGAAAGACGTCAATCGATTTCAAGGGCGTGCACCCAATTTCAAGGCATTGCAATCAAACCACGAACCACTATGCGAGCGCTACGAGTGCCACCCTCGTTTTTATTACCGATATGTATCCCTTTCCACCAAGCACAGCATTCGCGAAGAGTTTTATAGATTCCGTACCAAACCGCAACTTGGCATGCGACTGCTACTGAAACGCAACTAACGCCGATTAGGCCTAGCCTGCCATTCGGTTGTTGCAAGAAGTTTGTCCTAGATCCAAAGATCCTGCATAGAAAAGACTGCACTGAGGCACTGAACCAAGAACACTTGCGTGATACCAAGTTCGCATTCGCGGCTGAGAGATCAACAGACGAACACCCATCAAGCTTACGTAAGATGGCGCATTGGCAGCAAAGGCGAAAGCTCACATCATAAGGCCGCAAAATGTTTTAAATTTACGAACAAGTTATGGACAAGTCAGCAAACTCGATATTTGCAGCAAGCTCGGTAACGATGACGCTTTTCTCAACACAAAATTGTTAAGCGAAGTCGATAAGGACGGGATGGCTCAAGCCATGTTGGGCCGCGCCGTAGCAACACTAGTGCACTGCAGCAAAGAGAGGGAGGTTGAGGAAAGGAAGAGACGCAAGTTCTGCATTCCTAGTAAGTAGCACGGCTCAGCGCCCACTGTAGTCGCGTTCACGCTGGTGCAAATTTATCGCCAAGGCAACAGCCCTCCACACTTACTCAGTGAGCCCGCACAACATACCATGGTCTTTCCTTTTAATTTTCTTCTCTCCGATCTTCGTTCGTTTACTCCGTGTCCCCTCCTCCTCTGTAACAACCTCATCCCTCGCTCCCCAGCCCACCTTTCAGATGTGCACTCGCTACTAAATTTGTCACAAATATATTCCAGCAACTGCATTACAACCAGCCTTTTATCTTGGGGTACTGCACAATAAGCAGTATGCGTATAAATGGGTTCTATAGGAGGGTAAATGGGAGTAAAAAAAGGCTGCATTGTAACAGGTTCTGCACTATAGGCATTTATGCAGGGGTGGAAGCAGGAATGATGAGGCTTTGGAGCAGCTTTCGAGAAATAAAAGAGGAGTTTTCGAGCAGCCCTGGAGCACCAAAAGGTGAATTTTGGAGTGCTTGTTAATTGCTGTTAATTAAAACTTTTGCTTTCTGGTAAACACAAAAAAAAATTCAGTGGTTTTTACTAAACATTCTATGCTGATGAAGCTACTAGACTTACCACAAATTGATAACACACACACACACACACACACACACACACACACACACACACACACACACACACACACACACACACACACACACACACACACACACACACACACACACACACACACACACACACACACACACACACACACACACACACACACACACACACACACACACACACACACACACACACACACACACACACACACACACACAATACCTTACAACATCACAGCTGAAAGCACAGCAACTTTAATAAATGACATAAGCAATGCTTTAAACTATAACTACAGTGAATGAAAAATCTTAGTGTTAAAAATGTGATCAAAACACTGCATCCAACATGACCAGCCACTCAAGGATAGAGATGAGCTAATAACAGTTATCTTCATTTTGAAACCAATAAGAATTTTAAAAACTAGAGAATGTTTCGGCCATTGAGGTGCCAGAGCAGCCATGAGAACTGCGAGGAAAATTACATGCGCTGGCTGTGCCGTTGCTAGGCGATGGCACGAAAAGTTTTTTTATTGCCATAGGAATTATATCAACGCTCGAAGGGTTTTTGCCGCCGCTGCCATGTGCCCCATAAATGCCAAGTTGGTAACATTCCCCCCCCGCGCATCATATGTTCTGCCCGCGAGTATAATAGAGCGAGCAAGAGCAGCGAGCGCTGCTCAATCAGAGACTAAACGAAGCGGCTGATCTTCGTTGCTCGGCAGGCGCATGCGATAGCATCCAGCCGCGTGCTAGGCCTTCCATCGAATGCTTAAGCAGAGCGAAAACAAACCGCCAGTCTTGAACAGCAGCTGTGAACTTTGATTCTAAGGGCACCGATCGCTGGTGTGCGTTCTATCTCGATAAGCATAAGTGCACGGCTTTTATACCCTTGTATGTGGGCGCTCTATACCCTCTATGTGGTGCGCTCTCAACGAGTAGAGATTGTGCGAAAAGAGCATTTCTCCCAGGAGCGACTGCCCTTTTTCTCTTGCACCAGCGTTTTGTAAAGTTACGCGATTTCGAATCCAAAAAAGCTGTCAGCCTTGCTTAGTATGCTAATGGGTGATGATGTTGACGAAGCCAGCAATAGCCATTTTCACGACTGAACTTTTTTATTTGGACGAACGTGGGCCCGGAAAACAAAACGTCACTCTACAAGGAATACACACAGTAGACTGACAGCAGAGAACATAGAGCGTCAGCCGTCGATGGTCTCTAAGCAGTGAAGCGTGTCAGCATGCAATCAAAGATTCCAGTATTATCGCTAGCGGCCACTTAAGGAGCAGAACAAACTCTAATGTACGCATTGTTCTTTATTCATACATAACCTTGCTTTTCCCGGAGGTGTTACAGCAGGGTGGTTACAAACATGAAAAAAACATCTTCATTGTTACTGCATACTTGCTCAGACAACAGACCATTCCACTCATTAATAGTTTTCACAAAAAACGAATTCGCGTACAGGTTTGTTCAGCCTGGTATGGCTTTATTTTGTGTATATGATCTATACGTTCAGATATGTACTCTGGATATTTTCAGATAGTGTCTCTCTCAATTCCTGTTTTATTATGAAATATCCCATATATCAACTTCAAAAGAAATATTTTAGGTTGTGATGAAAGTGACTCCCAGTTTAATTCTTTTTTCATTTCGGTACAACTGTGACTTCCTCCATCACGACTCAAGACAAACCTGGCTGCTCCGTTTTTAATTTTTTTTTCTAATTATTAATCAAGCCTACTGTACTTATTCGAATATAGGTCGACCGTTTTTTAAATGGAAATGTTGTTCATAACCAGCTATTGACCTACCTATATTCGTGACCAAAAAATCTCGGCCAATATTCTCGAACAAACCAGCTGAGCTTATGGCGTTCAACCACCGCACCACCCGCTGTTCTTCAAGCAGTTCTTGCTGCATACACATGTTATATACCGTAAAATCTGAAATAAAGACCACCCTCTTCTTTTCCGACTACCTAAGTAATTGAAAAAAAAGTTATTTATGCAATATTTGCGTACCACCCCTGGGGAATGCAGCCACTTCGCCGTGTTTGCGATGAAACTCAAGATTTCCCTAGGTATTGAGCGTGAAGTCTCTAGCCCGCTAGCCCTGCTCCCGGTACTGTTTTTGCGGCACGAAGCCGCATTGGCACTGGCCTGAGGCCTCGCTGTCGCCGCGACGCCACCTCGCGCTTTCTTCATTGTACCATCGGCATGACTGGGTGACTGCATTTGCTTTAGGTGCTGCGTCGTGCTCCCTACTGGGGCAGCAGAAATTAGGCGCCTTCCTTTTTTTTTTCTAACCACCACCATTTGGTTCAGCGCATTTGTGACAATGTGGCGTCAGCAGAGCTACAAAGGTGACTTTAAGTGCCAAGTGATACTTTTTACCAAGGACTCGAGAAATTGTGCCGTGCAGCGTGAATTCTGTGTAAATGAGACGTTGATTTGGGGTTGGCGAAAGCAACGGGATCGTCTGTTTGCGTGCAAATGGTTGCTGTCGTGCCTTTCGCGGCACAAAAATCAGCAGCGGTGGCAGCAAGGACCACGCTGTTTGGGAAGTCGCGGATGCTTGCGAAGAATTCGATGACATCCTCTTGCAGATCTGACAAAATGACGGCCCCGGCAGTGATTAGGGTGCAGAGTTATGCAAATAAAGGTGTGCTACGTTTCCTTTGTTTCTTAACTAAAAAACAAAAACATTGGTTGACCTATACTTGAATATGTATAAATTTTCTTCCCTCGTAGAAAAATATAAGTAGGGGTCAACCTATATTCGTGGCCAACCTATATTTGAGTAAATACGGTACTTGTGACGGGTCCCAAAGAGTACAAGCATATTCTAAAATTGATCGAATGCAGGTGAGATAGGCCACGTTCCTAAGCTGATAATCTGCACATCTCAAGTTCCTTTAAATATAGTTCAATGCCACCGCAGCCTTAGCAACCACATAATCCACATGGGCATTCCAGGAACAATCGTGCAACATTAATACACCGGAATATTTGTACCTACATTTTCTATCTAAAATGAAAAATTTCGTGTAAGTACTCCTTCAAGTGCCGTGCTGTGACAGTTGTCAGTCCGCGCTCGTCCCGTGTATGCTAATTTCTTGCGTGCTTTCTGCTCGAGGTGCGTGCTGCAAGTTTCGAGCTGCTTGCCATTCTTAACATGACTTTGAAATTTGTTTCTGTTGCTGAAACGATGCACAGTAACCACTCAACTATCTTTGTAAAGACACGTTTCACTTTTGTGTTACAGCCGAAACCCGCAATAACGAAATTGCCGGGGAATGAAAAATTTCGTTTCTGTGAAAATTTCGTCGCCGCGAAAATGAGACATAAAAACAGTGATACGGCCAGCAGAACGAAAATTTATTGCCAGAAGTCGGTCAACTTACTTTGCCGACCCTTGCCATGCAACAACTTCAAAGCTCTCCCTTCGTACTGGAAAAAGTGGTCCATTGCTACGTCGTCGTCACGTGCGCCAAAGAAGGAGCGAAGAGTGTCCAGCGCATCGTTCCTACCCGCAGTGTCGCGGTCAGCGGAGTTAGGGCTAAAGCAGACTCCGATGACGCGCCGTGCTCGTAGACCGCGCACCCGCTCGTAGTAATCTGATTGTGCGTCCAGTGCAACCACTCGTAGTAATTTGACTGTGCCGCCGCTTACAAGCAACGAAGCACGTCGCCACGAGCGCGCTAGCGAGTCGTTTCTGCCCGCAGTCTTGCTGTCGGCGGAGTGAGGGCTGAAGACGACTCCAATGACGTGCTGCGCTTGTAGTAACCTGATCGCGCATCCGCCTACTGCTCCTAACTAAAGCGTAATTATATCTTAAGTAATCATCAAGCCATGAACATGTCATGACGTAGCAATTTTCGAGAGCCATGTCCTCGCGACGCACAAGCAGCAGACGACGATCTCCCGGAGCGAGCATCGGGCTAATGGCGAGGCGAGCTGAGGCAACATGGCGGCCACAGCCAATCAAGGGCCTCGAAACGACCTTCAAACATTTGCTCTTTATGCGCTTGTTTTTAAAGGGAGGAGCCAGCTGAGGCGGGAAAGTTAAACACAGAGAAATGCTCTTTCCGATGAGCCCAAGAAGCCGGCTCCCGGCCCCGCCATTGTGAAGCCATTATTTTTTGAAAATCGCTGTTTTCTCCCAATTTCCCGAAAAAGTTTCGCTACATATGTGGGTGAAACGAATTTTCCGCACTTCAGCGCGGTTTTCAGTGTAGATATTTTGGAATCAGATAGAAAAAGAGTTCCAGAAGCAGAAAACTTCCAAAAAAGTTCCAAAAAAAGTTCCAAAAAAATCGATTTTTTTTGCCATTTTTTGCAATCCCAAAGCTGCGTCCCCCCTTAAGTAAACAAAAATGGCGGTACCCACGGTAGTGCGGCAAAAGCAGACGTTTACAAATTTTGAGTGCGCATAACACGCATACGAGCATACTTTCGACAGTTAACCTTTGGCAGGAGGGTAAAACAAGGCCCGCACCGTGGTAGAAAATTTGTTGATGCGGGATCACTGTCCCAAAACATTTCATTGCTGTGAGATACAAAATACATGACCTTCTATGAACGTTCGCCGGGGATCCGGAAATATTTCGTTGCTGCGGAGTTTTAGTACTCGCGGAGTTTCGTTATTGCGGGTTCCGTCTGTATACTGATTCCTATATAGGGGTATCAGCCATATTTTTTATCCTGAATGCGTGAGCATTGACCGCCGAGGCTGTAAGCGCCTGTTGCGGGCATCCTGGTGTCCGGTTCCCGAAAGAGCCTTGCAGAAGACAGCTGCACAGAAAAGTTCATCGCAGGCATACACGTACTCTTGTTAATTTTGTCACTGTGCTCCGTCCACTGCCGTTTATCGACTGGATAGTTAAGGCTGACACGTTCAAGTTTTGAAAAATGGGCGACCGTAGACGAGTGCCGTGCAAGTGCTTCACTTGAATTCATGTAGGAGCCCATACTTTTACTTTCCGATATTCTTTCAGGCACTGTAATGGCAAGGCACTGATTCAAAGTGTGGCTTGCATTCATGAATACGTCTATCTTTGAGAAAACATCTGCCTTATCCTTTAGGAAGTAGCTTCCCTGCTCAAAGCATGTAAAAAACTGCATCAGTTCATAGAAATGGGCACGTAATTACTGACACCTTCTACAGTGGCTTTGTTACTTTTTCTACGACCAGACAGTGTACGTTTAGCAGGCAGAAGAGAACCCACCTGTCGGAGGCCTCTTTGTGTAAGGGCTGAGCACTCGAGGTACTTGATGGCACGAATCTTGGAGCACAGCTTCTGGCCCTGCTCCCTCTTGATTGGCGACAGGCCCTGCTCCGACAGCTGCTGCAAAGTCTCCTTATCTTCGCGGAGGTCCATCTTGGTCCCTGCACAAGGCACGGGCAACGGCTGTAACTTCTTTCCAATATTCCCACAAAACTTGAAATTTGGCGGGATGGCGCATAGTTGACAGGATCTTTGAGTGCAAAGAACATTCACAAGTCGAGACGACAAGGCAGGCACTGGTCTACTTGTTGCCTAGTCTTGTGAATGTGAATCTTTGTGCTCAAAAATCCCATTTGCAATGTTCAATTGTGTCAATCCTTTCGCATTAAACCATAAATTTAGACCGATCGCTACACAGAACAGCAAGCAAGACAAATAATGAACCAGGAACACGCATGCTGCACAATGTTTCGTCAACCACCGCATTCTAATGGTGCTGTATGAAAGCTAGTGGTGCAGAAAGGGTGATCTGAACTCGATGTATTGCAGTAGCACTTCACTGGTACTGACCAGTGCTGTGGAATTTACTGAGGCCCACCTTCAGTGAAATTTCTGGTGTTGTATTCACCAGAAGCCCAATATACATATTTCAAGCACACAAGCACCCTGAACAGGTGCACAAGCGCTCATGGGAAACGCGTGTATGCCACCAGCAGCTGCCACGACGAGCGTGCGGATCTCATGCTTTTGCTCCCTCAAGGAGCTTGTGCCGTGCCAATCCACTCCTCAAACAAGGTGAATTCGGCAAGGTGCCACTTATTGCAGCATAACTGAATCACGAACTTCAGTATTTAGCTGTGACAGCCTCCCTGCGATTTCCATCTGTCCCACTGCTTGGACCACCAGCTGAGTGACTTAAAACCTCTCATTCTTTTTTTTTTCTTTATTGGCACCGGTATGCCATATAGTAAAATGAAATGAAAAAGACCTAGGTTGGTTGCCTATGAAGTGCAGGAGTGGTCAATAATTCACAGATGCGTACGGAGCCAACATTCGTCGACAGAATAGATGAGTACAGTGTGAAGTTCCGATATTTAAATAGTACGCTAGAAAGTATATGTTGTTGTTAGTGGTTCATGAGGAAAAGGAAGAAGGCACCTAATTTCTGTCTGTCTACAGGCGACACGGCGCAGTGCCGAGAAAGTATAGTCAGCATTTAGTATGATAAGATACATTCACTAAAGACAGTGTACACATCGGGTAATAAATGACAAGCGTCAGGAACCCCCTTTGGCAGTGCCAGGGGCTCCAGAAGTATATCTGAAGTGAGGGGGCGACAATACTGACGACGCCACTCGCACAGCACAGTAAACCCTAAAACATTCTCGAATTTTTTTTTCTCCTCTCACTTTTTCATTTCTTTCTTCCTTTCTGTCTTAGCCATTCTTTCCCTTTCATTTTTCACTCAAAGTACTATAAATGCGTGCGTAAACAGAATGTACCCTCATTCCTGACGAAGGCCAGACTTTGGACGAAACTGTCGAATTACACTCTTCTGTTGTTACCATTCTCATGAAGGATCCACTTGACACACACACGTGTGTGTATGTGTGTATGTATATATATATATATATGTGACGCTATGATGACTGGGAGACGTGGCCCGGCTCATACTCCATGTTTATTCCATTCTGACTTCTTCCTCCTCGGCTTCTTCTAACTCCTAACCATCGCTACCTTTTTACGTTACAGGATTCCCCCTCCCCCAGAAAGAATTCGCACCAGACGAACAGAAATAAAAACTGAACACGCACGGCTTAGAAGTGAACACTGTCAAAAAGAAAAGATCATTCCATGTCCGAGGAAGTTTCCGTTAACACACTATAGCTTCACAGGAGAGGACAGCAATCCGGGGTATCGAGTACAGCTCTGGAGGGCGAGGCTGGCTGTTGCGCTCTGGACAACATAAGCATGCTTTGAGCGTAGAATCAGATGGAAACACAGCCGGCATTCTTGCGATGAATGAACGTGGTGTGATGGCTTTGAAGCATTGGCTGGATGATTTGCGCAGGTGTCGTGCTATTTGTCTTGATTGGAACCCATGCGGTGCCACCCGTTTGCATGCTTGTTGACCGAGGCTGGTGCGGTGATTTCTATGTCCTTGCGGAATACAGGGTATGGTTTGGCACCTTTCTCGACGTTGTATGTCGTGTTGCCTGAGTCTTGATCTCGACTGGAGAAAGCTTACTCGACGTCCCTTGGGAAAATATCCTGGATTCAATTTTTTCTTTGTTCCGAGTGAGAAATCTTGAATATGTCGTCGGTTTGGTTGACTCGTTTGTAAACGGCTTTCCATAAACCGCGTGTGTTCTTCCGAAGATGATTCTATTCGTCGTAGTCCTTGTTGGTGTAGCCCTTCCAGACTCTGTTGTTCTTGGGCTTGATTTTGCTGGCACTGGTGGTGCTGACGTGGCAGCCGTTTTTGACCATGGCACTGATTTTCTGGGCAACTTGATGTGGTGTACAGTAGGCAGATGGTAGTCAGTGGACTGTTATGCTGCATTTCGGGTAACGAAGGTTGTGCGCTTGAATTTACTGGAGACTCTTCGGAGGCTCTTGTGACGCCGTTCCTAATGGATGCTTCTGGCTCGCGGCAACGTGTGTGACTTGATGGTTCCGAGCCTCCTGTGTTGTTAAGACTCCCAGGTGCCCGTGCACTGGATGGTGACACTGCATCAGGCGTAGTTTGGTCAGATTTCAGTCGTAAATGTTTGTCTTTCTGTGTAACTAACGAGTTAGGCTGTTCTGAAGCATGCATCTGCACAGAAGGGCCAGAGCCTGGCTGAGTATCTTCAGGGTTCCTCACCTCTATATCAACCGTAGTAAGCATGTGAGATGCGAGGTGAGCACTGTGAGCAACTGAAGTGCCAAGCGACGGAAAAGTAGGAGGTGGTTGAAGTGCGCGAGACGGAAAGTACTGTGCACAGGGTGGCTCCCTAATGTGAGTGCTACGGTGCAGTGATGACGTAAAGGTTGGTTTTCGATTGGGCAGTTGCAAAACGTGGTGCGGTTGAGGGTACACTCTTCCTGCAAACAGATATGGCTGCCTTTCAGTGAGAGGTTGCTTTAATTGCTCTTGTTTCAAAGGCCGATTCATTTTTGGTGTCCCAATGCGTGAGCAGTGCTTTTGACTGCGGCGACCGAGCGCAGTTGTCTGTGGATGGTCGGTTATAAGCGAATCTTCGTCGTAGTAGTCAATGTCTTCTTTAAACCAAATGATCATTTCTTGTTTTATCTTTTCCCATGACTCATAGTTTTGAAATATGTCGGTGAGGTAGAATTTGAAGGCCTCACCGGAGACGTAGTCGGTAAAATTGATGATCATCTCTAGTTCCGACCATGATGCAGCGGTAGCATGGAGCTCAAACAGGTTGAACCAGTCCTGTACAGGTCCATCATCCACTGCTCCGGTGTACTTGGGGATGGGAAGGGCAGTCGATGATTCTGGCATGGTGCTGGTCGCTGTGTAATGCTAGGCGCTTGCACGGTAGTCCATGTATGCTCAGGGTGTCATGCAGAGAACTGCGTAGATGGTGAGCGACTGATGAAGGGGCAGGCAGGTCTCCATCCTGTCGACTCGTGTGAAGCTATGATGACTGGGAGACGTAGCGCGGCTCATACTCCATGTTTATTCCATTCTGACTTCTTTCTCCTCGGCTTCTTCTAACTCCCAACCATCGCTACCTTTTTACGTTACACACACACACACACACACACACACACACACACACACACACACACACACACACACACACACACACACACACACACGCGCGCGCGCGCGCGCGCGCACACGCACACACACGCACACACACACACACACATATACATACATATCTTAAGAAAGGAGTGTATACTTAAGGGCTCGTTTTTCCGTGTTTCACACAATCATTATGAGATCTAACAGACAATAATTCCAAGGAAAGTATAGGGAAAGTTATTAGGCCGAATTGTAATGTAAATGTCAAGAAAGAAAGCGGGTGAAAAGATCTTTTCACCCACTTTTCTTTCTTGACATTTACATTACAATTGTAAAAGGGGGCCATCGCCCTGTTGGGGCTATGGCCCCCACGGCGCCTCCGGTTCCGGAGCCCCTGTTTGGCACTATAACTACTGGTTGGAATAAAACTTAAAAGCGCCAGAACAAGTAGGCTTGGCAAGGAAAGAAATAAACACATAAACGCTAGCTCTCTCGCAACTGAGAGGTTATTGTACGTGTGAAAAGAATCATATAGAAATGGAGGCGCATCGTGCATGTCAGAAACAGGAGCAAAAAATTAACCAAGGAGTGTGTTCACAGTCAATTATTAAAGTTGAATTCCTTGTCTTCTTATTACAGAGAAGGTTGACTTCTACAAAGAGCGGCATTCTTTATGATATGATAGGCCCTGACATTTCTCGCGTGGTCTGATTAAGATGACAATATAAATATACCGTTATTTTGAAGAATTATTTAAATTTGTATGACAGACAATGCGAGTAGAGATGAGACGGCTCCATTCAATGAATTGCTATGCTTTCTGAGGCACCAAATAAACCACCGGCCAGTGCATCTGGCAGATGCACATGTGAACATATTGTTACATATGTTGTACGGCAAGAACACTCAGTCAGACGTAAACCACAGACGTACACTTCTTCACTTTCCTTATAGATGCCCTTCAAGGTATGTCCCACTATGCACACTATGCACTGTTAACGTCAGTGAAGCTACGCAACAATATAAAAGAGGAATCCGGTTAAAAACTCCTATACAACTGAAAAAACAACTGGCAACTATCTCACATTATTTTTCTTTGCCCAAAGCAGACCCTTGCGACCTTGCAACTAACCTTCTTTGTTGCAGAAAACACAGCCCTCACCCTATATTTTCCAAGCCGTGGGATTTCTTATGCACATACGAAATAACCACAATATAACTAGTTAATCCACGGGGGGGGGGGGGGGGGGGGGAGGGGAAGGGCAATTGTATTTATCTTTCTTTGCAGTGTGAATGAAGTTTTTGCTAACTGATGAAATAGATACGCAAGATCCACCTCCTTGGGGTGATATATATATATATGAAAAAATTGTTATTGCTTCATGCCACCACATTTTCTTA